TTAAAAAAAAAAAAAAAAAAAAAAAGGCAACATCCTATGGTCTCACTATAGATATGCTTGATCAATGAACTATATATATAGAAAGGAGTCAGGTTTAGGCACACACATGAAAGGTATTGTTAGAGACTTATAGGGTTTTTTTTGTCTGTTTGTTTGAATACAGCTACCCGCAGAAAGTGCAGGTGTAGGAAGAGAGATTACAAAGCAACCAAGAAGAAGAAATGAAAAAACTCAGTTGTCTACAAAAATCTTCTTTTTTGTGGGTTAGCAGTTCAGCCACCAGTCTGTCCAGGTATTTCACAGCTGTGAAACTGAAAATTTTACGTGCATTCACTTGCAGCCAAACCATGCTAAGAGTTCACCAAGAAAATAATCTTTTGGTACTAGTCACAATAGAACACTGGCTGAATCAATTTTTCCTCCTACATGTGAACATTGTATAGCCTTATCTTAAAACACATGGCGTTGAAAATATTTTAAACACTATGGGCAGATGCAGCAATACTGGGCTTTCAACCCATTATCCCCATAGCATTTCCCTGACCGTTCTCTCACCTCCAGGGCCAGATTCCAATCTGTGCAGTAGTTATAGTACTGCCACTTACCTCGAAAAAAACCACTACTGTGCTTTTTCCAAGCTCTGATGCAAATCTGGCCCCAAGAATACGTGAGACACTTATAATCATACGAATGTTTTCATCACAGCATGGAAATAATTAGACTTGGAAAATCCAGCCTACTGTTGCTGTAGGGTAAATTGAAACAAGAAGAGAATTTGGTAGCTTATTCAAAAAGATTAGAAAGTGAATGTACAGCTACATTGAAGAACAAGAGCTGTTTAAGTGAAGTAGAACACAAACTCTTGAGCATGTTGGACTGAGACAGATGATAAAAAACCAGTCTGGCACTCACAGAAGTACAGCAATATCTTTAGACAAACACTGAAACCAGAAGACAAAGGATAAGATTAAACAAGACAGTATTTCAGCTGGAACTCTCTTTCCCACCCCAACCCATAATCAGGTAAGAGTCAGTCCCAATATGACACACTGGAGATATCTTGGAAGCTGAGGATACTAAAGCTAACATAATAGTCCATGTTAGTCTCTGAATTATATATTAAACTTATTACTGATTAACTACTACTTAAAACATTTCTATGCCTCCATTCTTCCCTACTACAGTCAAAAGTGCTACCCTTATTAAATGAGCAGACAGATGTTTTAAATAAGAGTTATTCAACAGATCTGAAGTAATTTAAGAGTTAGTATAACACTGGCTTCCACCAGATTTCCAAAACGGTCACTGAAAAAAATTAAGCTGAAGTGAAACAAATGAGTTGTTATTTCACTGTAAAAGAATTAATGCCAGATAAGCCAAGAGATGCTGAAAGAGAATGCTTTAGTGCTCATCTGGTGACATAAGCACATGTTTCATGAACTCTATGTGAGAAAGCTGTGAAATAAACAATTCTAGCAATAAAATCTTAAATGTTAGTACATTCACTGTCATCACCTGGCTATTATCACTGCAAGTAGGTCTGAATGTAAAGGGTATGTAATAAATTCTATATTAAAGCAACCAGAACATTCTATTATATTATTATTAACATATTTTGTAACCAGAAAAACATCCCTTCAGCTCCCTCCAAACTGAAGAAACCTCCCTAGCACTTCTCAGAGACTACCAATATTCTTAAGAAGAAACAGGGTTATTAAAGAAAACTTGTGGTGGATCACGAGGCCTTTCTCACAATCCAGACAGCATGCTGGGGATTTCTTCAAAATGACTTAAAATATGTAAATAATTATAAATCACAAGTTCTATTATTTCACGGGTTAGGTGAATACAAGCAGGCAAAAGAAGATTTCAACAATATCTGATTTTGCCCATTTTGAAAGAGGTTAATCTACCTAATGCCACCCAACATATTTTGTTCTAATAGAGCTTATGCATACGAACAAGAAAGAAGCTCCTACCTTGGATTAATCTTTGCTTCTTCCATCATTTTCTTGAAATCCTCCTTGGCCTGCATTATTTTGTTTTTCTTCTCCTTGCGCTCTTCTTCTGCTCGGGTTTTCACATACTGATCAAATACCTACAGAAACACCAGTCACCAACATAAAACATACAAACCTGAAGCCACATAAGCTCTAGGCAAAAGGGAGGTAAAATCCCATTTCTTTCCTGTTCTCCCATTTCCTTTCCTCTCACCACAGAACCAACATAGACGAGGTAGAAAGAAGCAGTAGGGACTCTTTGTATTTGAATATGCAAATTACTCCAATCTGCTGAACAGGTAGTGTACTGTATCTAAACATGTAATCTGAGACCTGTGAAGAAGTTTCTTACACATTCGTGTTACATTAACATTTTTCGGGGCCATATGTTTAAGACAGCAGACGCTTCCTGTATTCTTCCCTACATCCATTTGAAGAAAAGCTTCTGGAGTGAGAACTTGCTTAACAATAAAAATGCACTTTAGTTTTTCCCCCAACCACCTTTTTTTTTTTTTTAATAAATAGATAAATTATTCATTATGCCAATATTTTGAAGAGTTACTGACGATTCTCACGATTTCATTCATGTTTAGGGAGCTCTCTGTATGCGTACAAGTTTCACTGTGTTAAAATATTAGATCTGGAAAAATAAAAAATATCACTTCTTTTCTTGCTGGCTTCTTCCATTTCCAGACAAACCCTAATCATAACAAAACCCCCCTGCAACACTGATTAGTCTGGAAGGCTAGCAGGAACAAAAATAACAGATCGAGGATTTAGATAAAGTCTGTGGTAACCGCGTCTGGATGAGGAGTGAATTTGACTTCTATTTTACCTGTTTTCTTTCTTTTGGGTTGAGAAGTAAGTAACGAGGATCAAAAACTATCTTGTGCAGCTCTTTCTCCCATGTTGAAAAAGCAGAGACCTTTAATTAAAAAAAGTCAGATTTTAACTAATGGTTAAATTTCCTCAAATATATAGAAGTTGTACAGTTTTGCTTGAAAACTATAGGACATCTGATGAAAAGAGGGAAACAAACTCATCCTGAAGTTTTCATCACTAATAGATGATGGAGGCTGCCATAGCAAGTTTCAACGCTAATTAGCTCTGAAAACTTTGAAATAATAACACATGCTTAATTACTACTACTGTGTGTCATTAAAAAAAAAAAGTACATCAGAAGAAAGCCTTGACATTCTATGTTCTCATATCCCATGCCTGCTCTATACCTTTTCTGAATGTTACGAATGTAAACAGTTCTGCTACAAAAGAGATTGATTTAAAAACGTTCAAGTTCATCTTAAACAAGCTTTATTAAAAACTATCCCATAAAATCTAGTTATTGAAACTAAAGGAAAGCTGCATAGGCAGCTGGAACCACTTCCATTTTTTAAAGTTACTATATAAATTCATATTTTAATAGCCTAATTTATCTATCAAAACTGATTGGTATCAAGCAGATTTCAAATTTAGTTAACTAAAAGCAAAAAATGTCCCATTTAAGGATAAGAGCATACAGACTACAGTGGAACTTACTGCTTTTCTCATGTAGAAACATTTCCAAAAACATTAAGGATATGTCCAGTTTGTTTGTCCTATTTATTTTCAATGGCAGCTTTCAATTAGGTAATTACTTAACTTGGGAAAAAGGTTTAAAAAAAAAAAAAATCTGTCTTGATACTGTTTAATTTCAGTTACTTAGAAATCAAAATTCTGCTATAATTGTAACATTCTTTGAAATATGGATTCTGGTACCAAATGCATCCATTAACCAGAGAAAGGACGAGATTGTTTTCCTTACATAAAGCACCGCAGGTTCTGAATTCGCTAAGAATTGAGACCTCCGCCTGAACTTCCCCCTCCCTCTCTCCCCTTCTCACATACACACACACACACACACACTGATTTCTCTGACCCCTCTTTCTAGAAGCATGTCCTTGAATTGTTTCATCCGAGCCTCCAGAGGGACAATGGCTCTTTCTCTCGCGGCTTTAATTTCAGCTTCCATAGCAGCCTCCTTCTCTGAATCAATATCTTTGTTATCATCTTTCCTGAAAAAAATTAAACATACAGTATAACTTGAGAAGTATTATGTCAACCCTGTAGGTTAGAAATTGAACTACACCAGGACAGAATGGATAGAACAGATTACTTCAGAAGTGTTGGCTTACAAATCATGAAAGCCATTCTTTGAGACTTGGATATAAATGCTTCCATACTGAAAGAGCTCACGAACCAATGTATTCTCAACAACTTCAGTGCCAACAAATGACTCCAAGAAGTTAGCACATTCTGGTTGTATTCAATGGTCTCGCCAGATGTGCAATAGATTTTACATTAACCGCACTAATTTTCTAATCTTCTGTTCAAGACCACGAGGCACAGTGAAAAGACTAAGGGAGGTAGTTCAAATTGAGAATACCATACAATCATTACAACAGAAAATGCTGTAACGCAATTAATACACTCACCCATCAAAGCACTTCTGGAAAAAAGTGTGCTGTTTGTTGATTTATGTTTACTAAAAGCAAATGCACTTCATCCCAAACAAACTCAAAATCCTAATTACTAACAACTTTATGATCACCCCTAAGAGTACACAATAACAAATAAAATGGTAAAACTACTTTTAAAACAGTGCGTGTAAGTAACAGAGTGAAGTGACATATATCGCTTCCAATAGGCAAAACAGATCAAAAGACCCAAACAAAACCCTCAAACCTTTGTAACAGAGTGAAAACAGAGTAATCACTATGAAAATCTAGATGGCTGGATTTTTTGGCAACAAAATCTTGTGCACAGAAATTAACAAGCTAGATAAACAAGCAACAGAAGCAAACTATTTAAGATAAACTGCACTTAAAATATCCCTTGGATTCACCCACTTATACCATTTATTTCCATTTCGAATGATTTCCAGAGATGCTATTTCCTCTATAAGTGAATTTCAGCTATCTCAGAAAAATATCAAATACTTGAGCTGCTAAAGTAAAATAGTAGGAAGTTCATGATTGTGTTCACCAATCCTATTAGTTACTGTTCTACTCTGCTGAATATATATACAGTATACACACTGCTCAGATGAAAAACTTTAGGTTTTTTATCCACACAGACCACTTAGTATTGAAAAGGCAAACTTACTTGCGCTTTTTAATTTTAATAGGCTCATCTTCATTTGCTTCCTCTGTAGATTCATGTTCTTCTCTAACTGTAACAGATTTCAATAATAATTTAGATTTTATCTTTATGAAAAGTTTGTAAATCACAAATGAAACCTTGGGCAAAAACAGAGGACAATGCGTGCAGCAATAATATATTCTGACAAAGGAAGACATATGGTTTTCAGTTGCTTTCAGAATAACACTACTGGAATTTGGTGGCAGGACTAATGGACTTGTGGCCAACTTTGTATTTAAAATTACAAACACTGACCTCTTATTTCCAGGGAAAAAAAACAACTCAGGCTAAACAGTCTAATGAAGCACATTTGGATCTCCTGATTACCTACTTGCACTTTGCTCTCCTCCAACTACCAAGCCCACATGTCATCCCAGGATCATTTACTAGAACTCATGCCAGAAAGAAGTCTCATCTCAGCAGCCTCTTGAATGTTCTCTGCTCTTGGCAGCTGTTTCCAAAACTGTATTCCAGTTGATGTTCTCTAAGTTAAATCCTCTTCTGTGAGAGCCCATTCGTACATTATGATTAATCTTTTCTGGCCCCCAAATTCCTCTTGCTTATAAAACAAACACAGTCCCTTTTTTTAGTCAGTAAAAACTGTGGGGGGTTTTCAGCCTGTTGGCATTTAGAAAAAAAATTAACCTTGTTAGTATCTACTTTCTTCAATACACTGTTTTTTCCCCAAAGGACTCTATAAATCTGCATTCCCACTAGCCTTCTTAAATTCCAAAGTATCATACATTTTTCAATATGCCCCTACATTTCTCTCACTTATTTAAATGTTACTAGCTTTGGAAATCAACACAAAATAAGTGATGAATTATATTCAGACTTCTTAAGAAGGCTGTAAGATGGCTCTTACTAAGTTTTTTTCCTTCTTCCATTCCTTTTTTGTGAGGAGGTTCTTGAATAATTTTGTCCACATCAGCTCTTCCAATTAGGTCATCTGGTCGGTCCCACATAGAAAGACGAGTGGTAGGGTTATAGAAGAAAACACGCTCATCACCAGTCCACACCACACACCTAGAAATTTAACAGTCAGACAGAAGTCTTGTATTACCTTTGTCTTCATTGATTCTGTATACCTGTTACCATATTCAAAGACTGAAGCAAGCATAACGGTCACAGACAGATTCAGGTTATACTGACTGCACATCTACCAGACATCCCTACTGTCCAAATGGGATACTGAATTATTGCTTTTCTCTGCTAGCAGATTTGAAATGCAATTTTAAAAATGCTTTTTATGAGGTGCTGCAGTATATTCAGTTCTTCTCTAGAAAAATGTTTTAGACAGCTCAATCAGATTTTGGGATAAAACATACCTCATCACTTCAATGTCCCGCAAAATATAAGAAAAAGCAACCTAATGATCTTGCCAGGATTTTACAAATGATGAGGTGAAAGAACCGCAGAGATAATTCGAAAGGAGAATTAAAAAGCATCGATGGCTAAATGGCAAAAATGAAAACAATATCCCTTTCCCATAAGTAAGATTTTTACTTTGGTCATCCAAACACACAAAGACGATTTACATATATTACAGCAAGAGTAACCTCATCATGACATTATACACATAGGCACCTGATCAGTGTCTATGCCAAGTAGAGGGGGGAAAAAAAAAAAAAGGATTGTTTTGGCCAGCAACTGCACCTATTCGTTCCCCAAGGCATAAGGGCAAAAGCAGTCAAAGGTTTTTTTTTGGCCAGTATTTCATACTAGATCAGGAGGAATCGGTGGCAGATGAAGGGGGCTGGGATACGGAATCTATACTGGTAATGTACCTCATAGGACTGCAGTTAGCGTGTGGTAGAAAGGCTATACACACCCACCACTGAACGTTATGAGTGCTGGCACAGTGTGAACAGCGCTGGCTGGAGGAATCGAACGTTATCTGAGACAGAAGCATAGCAAGAACAGGATCTTCACACACTGTTACTTGTTCTAACTACCCAGCGACCTTCCTGGTGGCTACAGGAAACGACATTTCAGTCCCGCAGTAGCAGGCCATACGGAAAACCGTTACCTACCATGGCGTTCCTGGAATAGGAGTGGTTGCAACTGGCTTGGCCTTCTGAGCTGCTTTCTCTTCTTCAGTCATTTCTTCCTCTTTTGGCTCCTCAAGGGAAAAACGAGTTACAGGATTCAGGCAATGACAGCTAGCTAATTATTTATTATAAAGTAATTAACTTGTTTTAAACAAGCAAATGTATTTTGAAACAATGCTAACAAACAGCTCACAATTACACTTCATCCATGCTTAAAACAGAAGCATTGGAATTTCAACACATAGACAGTAACTGCTATTCAAAAATCTCAACTCAGAAAACCTCTAAGTGTATAGTTAACTTTGACTTCAATGAAACCTTATTTAAATGCCTTCCTAGATCTGCATGAATCCTTGAATCAAGGCCTGAATACAGGGGCAAGGGTGTAGTTTCTCACAAAGAAATTTTGATTTATTCTTAAAATTGATTTACTTGAAAATGAGACATGTACTACAAAACAGTCAAAAATCTGCAATAACCTTTGTAACAGAAATAAGCAAACTAGCAACTATCTCAAAAGTAAAGAGGGTAGAGTGGTAATAAAAAACAGCAACCGAATTCTGTGCTTTTGCCTACTAAGCTACATCGAAGTTCACAGAAATCAGTATAAAAGCTTTAATTTTTATTCAAACACCTTAGCATCTTCAAGAGCTATGCTTTCTCAGCATGACAAAATGCCTTACAAGAAAAAAGTTAATTTTGTTTACTGCAATGTAAACACTACAGACATTTTTTAGGACATGTGTTCCTAACAGACCAAAGTTACCAGTTATAGCACATGGAGAACATGTAAGCTTTGTTTCAAAATTGTTCAAAATAAAGAAGTAAAGAAATAGAGGAAAAGCTATTAATTTAAAGATTTCAAACATTCAGGACAAGTTTCATTTTTCTGAACCCCTTAAAATCAGCGTGAGAACATCATGTCCATGTAATTAGCTAACTTTTTTCCATGTTCTTACTAATTTCTTAACTCACATACTCTTTTTTTCTTTCAAATGTCCTTTTTTCCTTATGTTAAAAAAAAAAAAAAAAGGGGGAAAAAAAAAGCTATGAGTCCAAAAAGGAAGGCTTTCAGAATCACCCCAGGAATTTAAGAACTCAAATTACTAACCATGTCTCCTGTCAATATGCCTGGTCTACAGATGCATCCACACCTGTAGGATGTAGGATTCAAAATGGCGATACTGACTATTTGGTTGCAAGGTCTTTTACCTCCTTTATAAGTTCTTTTATAGGTTCTTCTTTTGGCTCTTCTTCTTCTGTCTCCATTGGTAAAGGCTCCTCCGTAGGTTCTTTAATTGGCTCTTTAATCTTCTCTTCCATTTTTTCTAAATAAAGATAGAATTTTCCTTAGTATTATTAAGAAACCATTATAGAACCACAACAGATTTATTTTTATCAGTACGATTTTCCAAGCACAACAGCAAAACAAAACTTATTTTTCATGTATTTTCATCACTTTCTGTCCTTCTTGGGCTTTACAGTGTCTGCTTATAAAGACATGATTATCTCCTGCACCAAGATCAACTTGGGACTAGGAAAGGAAATATCGTAAAGCAGCCTATTATATTAAAAAACTAACTAAAGCGTACCAACAGAAATAGCTGAAACACCAATAAAAATATCAACCAACAGTTGCAACAAACAGTGCAACACTGAAGACCACTTTCAGATTTGAAAAGCTGTTGACAAAAAAAATTAGAGAAAATTCACGGAGAATCATCTGAGAATTGCTCTGTACCCACTTAAAAAAAATTACAAAATGTATAATCTTTACTCAGCAAAATTGATATTTGCTGCCTTAGATGTTTTCACCTGAAAAACAAGACCTATTATTTAAACCTGAATTATTAGAAAGATGGGTATTAAGTAAACTAGCTAACTACGTAAGTGTTCTAAACAAAGATTTCTTGTAACTGAAAAATTCAGCAGACAATAAAAGGAAGAACTATTTGTTTTCCTAAAAGACTTCATAAACTGAATAAAAGCCAGAGGATTTTTGCCCCTTCTTCCTTATTTATGATACAAGAACAATTTCCCTCCTATATAACAACACCCATGGATGTAATGTGGATTCAAATAAACACAAGCCACAGAATATGACAAGAATATGACTTAGGGATGTGGACAGGAGGAAGTAATTTATTTTTTTCCTCATATTCCGAATCTGTTTATATACTTAGTTTTTGAAGATCTGAAATTTAGCATTTCAATGATCTTCATTCTTCCCTGCTTTACAGTCTTGAGAATAACCGAATTTTTGCCTCACTCTCTATCTTTCTGCAATTGGGATCTTCTCAAACACGTGAGTACGTAAAGTACTTACTTTCTACTGGAGTGGAAACACGCATTTACCCAAGTGTCACAGGATTTGGAAGCAACTCTAGAACCAAAAACTCTTACAATACAATAGGAAACAAAGAAACTGTAACTTCCAGACTCAAGAGCAACTCAAATAGATACTTATAATCAGGATTTAAAAATATTCTTAAAGGAGATAAGGGATTAGAAATGTTCTCGTTCACATTTTCAAACACAACCATTAATGGTCTAAGCAATTTTGCCTAGTATACAGCTATATTTAAAAAAAAAAAAGGTACCTTTTTCTTTCAGTTCTTGGGGTTTTTCCCACGTTGACTCCAAAGTCCTATTGTTATAATAGTAAGTCTTTCCATCTGCTGTTTTGTACTCTGTCCACTCAGAGACTGCTGTTGCTCCAGCCAACGTAGCAGGTGAAGCGGCAATAGCAACCTGAGGATGGATCATAGGTACAATGGGAGGGGCCATGCCTGGCAAGACACCTGTGTAAAGAAGAAAAAAGAAAAAAAAAAAAGAAAAAAAGAAAAAAAGAAAAGAAAAAAGCAAAGAAAACAGTAAGTGACAATGAAGTACCAAAGAACCAAAATCTAGCACTTCACTGACTTAATTTACAAATAATCAACTTATATAAATAAATAAGGATTGTTTTAAAAATTAAATAGGAAAGCAATGCATTGTTACTAGATTTCCTCGCTGTGTTTTACAATCAGTAATGCCCATATTACCAGGCAAATTAGATAGCTTTTTATTTTAGAGTAATGTGTAATTCTGCACAGCACAAAGCTTATTAGTTTTTAGACAATTTTGAAGTATTAAAGCAAATAAGTGCTCTATTTATTAAAAAAGTCTTATTAGATCTCTACAGCAAGTAATTATTAAAAAAAAATCTACTTCACGGTTTAATTATGCTGTCATTTTAAGAGATATTCCTATTGCTCTTGGAAAAAAAGACAACAATGGCTTGAATTCGAGCAGAACTCTGATAAATCTTAAATCCTGACTTAAAAAAAGTTAACATTAATTCAGAGCCTTGAATAAAAACTGATGAGAATGAAATAATTTCAGACTGTGTGACAGTTTTGTTAATACTGAAGACCGATTGGTAAAAACATTTTATTCACATCCTAAAGCAAAAAGGGAAGTAAATACCCAAAGATAAGAAAGCCAGAATGCTACATTATCCTATTACTCCTCTACTCATCCCAACAAAATGGATATATTGAACATATTTTGAGTGACAAGTTCTAGAAAAACAAATTGGATAGTACTAGAGCTACAAGATCATAATTTTGAGCTTTTAACATTTATATGAAAAAGTCTATCTTTTTAAATAATGGAAAAGCACACATTACACATTGCCATAAATTATTCTCAGTAAGTGACTTTTCTTAAATCCACAATTTGAAAAATGAAAATTTATACTAAGACGCACATACACGCACACCAACATGCGAGCACAATCATGTCACTATACATGTGGAAGTAGGAAAAACAAAAATCCACACACAAGAAACTAATAACTAAGAAGTATGGGCATGAAGAGGTTCACAATTATTACAGAACTCAATGATTACAGAAAACTGTATTGGATTTTTTGTATAAAATAAGCTAACGCTAACAGTTATTTGGGAAAGTTATTTCCTGGCCAAATACTTTATTTGCATTTATACTGGTTTTGAAAAGAAAGTATATATATTCATTCAATTGGGGAAGCAAATAAATAAATAAAAGATAAACAACAACATTCACTACCATGCCAACTTACAGACAAAACGAACTAAGATGGTTTTGAAAATTACCGGTCTTGGTGGTAGCGACTGTCTTTACATACGGGCAGCTGACTATTTGCATCATTGCTACACCTGTAAAATGGATAAGCAAGCATGTTGGAAAGCTGCCATTGTATGTCAGCTACCACTGGGAGTCTGGACATTACAGATTTCCTGCTACAATTTGGAATGCCATTTTCAGCTGGCAAAGAGAAAGCCTCCCGGCAAGAAAATGTGAATCATTTTTGCTCCAACATTTTATGCCAGATCAAATGTAAAACTAATTTAAGCTGCAGCAACAGTTTCTGCCTACATTAAACAGCTGTTTAGCAAATTATTGGGATGTCATTAAAAAGAAAAAAGATATTTCAATGAAGACTCAGGGGTTTAAGTTCATTCAAGGGGGAACTCAGCTCTCCTTGTAGGGCAGTACCATGGGAAAATATTCTACTAATGGTGCTGTTTTCCACTGACAGCCTTTGTTCAGACAGATCCATCAGAGGAGCAGCAACAAAGTGAAACTAACGGTCTTTGCTATTTTCAGTCTGCTGCTGCATTTAGAAAGCAGTGGTAAGAGTAGAAGGACAGATTTAAACTAGTCAGAGTAGCAAGGCATGGCAGGGTGAAAGCCAAGTTCAACCCAGAGGGAAAGCTGAGGTTATGAGGGTCATTACGGAAAGGCTGGAGGTGGAAGAAGTTGGGGGGAAAGAAATAAAAGCAATGAAGCTGCAAACAGAGGTACACAAAGCTGCACTAAGTCAGTGGCAGCGAACATTTTCTTTATTTTTCATTATCAAGGATGTCACGAGCTGAAAAATGCTCTAAAAGCAGCCTAACTAGCCCTCAAAAAGGTAGCATCATGCACTGTTCTGCTCTCCAGCTCATTAAGAAACAATGTAGAAAGGTCACAAAGAGGGAAGCATCTAATCCTCTTTAATTAGACGGAAAATTCAGTAGGAAATTAGACAGGGGTAAGGGGAACGCATTTCCAAAAGCCTTCATTTTTGGGTGCAGAAGGAAACTATAGAACTTCTTTCCACGTTGGTTCAGTCTGGACACTGAGAAACTGAAATACTTCAGAAACTTCCCCTTAAATGGCTTCAATTCCATCATCTGAGGTTGGAAATCCTCCAGCACAAAGTGAAATTAAACCCCTGTGTTTATAACCAAAGTAATTTCTACTTTTCTTCATCAGAGATCTAGTATGGAAAGCATACAAAAATGCTGCCAATTTATTTAAAAAAATATTTCTGAGAAGATGGAATTTAATAATAATTTCAATGAAAGAATCCAAAACTAGTTTTATAAAAAAAAGCATGAATTGAGACACAAAAACATTGACTCAAACAGCACTGAATGAAGTGTTCATCTAAATTTTGAGGATGGGGTGTCATGTTGTGTACTTGAAAATGAATTTGAAAATTCGTTTTGTTAAGGAAGTTACAGCATGTCTTAAAACTGGGTCAGTATAAATAATGCCATCTGCAGGATCACTGAAATTAGAGATACTGCAGCGCAGATAAGACTTAGCAAATACCCAAGCTGTTTCCTCTGCCAAGTTCATTCTCAAACATACAACTAACTTTTAAGGTATGAATTAAGAGAAAGCAGACTTACTTTTTAAGATCTGAGATTACGAGATATCACTAATCAACTCTTCCATTGTTCCGTCTTACTACAGTATAATACAGAGATTAACTTTGAAATCAGTTGACAGTGGTATTGTTCAGCTCTGTCTCTGTAACTTGAAAGCAATCTGGCTGATATTATATCTAGCTTAAAGCTCCAAACATCTATACAGTAAAACTTCATAAGCCTTTTTGACTTCACCTTATACTGCTGTGAAGTCATTTTGACTTCTCTTTAGTTTCTTGTTACTGTAAAATATTTTAAAGGTTTCCTTTTCTTTTATAGTGTTTATAAACCTTTACAACCAACTCAAGCCAGAATTAGCTGAAAGAAGTAGACTGATTTTATTCTGTAATCAGGCAAATGACAGATTAGACTCATTAGTGGAAGCACGCACTTTACGGCTAGGTATCCTTCCTATGCATTATGGGTTCCACCCAAAAGGCTCATCTCACTGTGAGAACAGGAGAAGAAGCCAGATCTAAGACTCGCTACCAGGAAAATTCTGAAAAAAAAAATTTTCGAAAACGAGTTTAAAAAGGAGAAAATCGATGTTCTTGCTCTGTCTTTCCTTCTGTATTGCACTACTCACAAAACTTTTTGTCTGAGAGCTTATGAAAAAACCCAGCCCCAGCGCACATCCTGGTGTCCATTTTCACTGGCACTCTTCTCTACTGCTTCGACCATCCACAATTCACCTGACAGTTCACACTTGAGTAGATGATTATATCCTTCAAAGGTATGTAAGGACCCTTCACTCTATGCTGATCCCTTGCTGGCAATGTCAGAAATTGCAGTTAAGGACATTCAGCTAATCACCTTTAAGGCTTAACCCTTTTTATTGTTCTTCCAAACCTCACAAATATACAGACATCAGAATTCTCCTCTACCCTTTACCCATTTTTCGTTCAGCCTTGAATATCATGTTCAGCACAGTATTTTTTTCCTGTCTTAAAACAATGAGTACTACACTGCAATTTCCTTTTCAAGCAAATTACAGATTAAAGTAGCTTCACTGAGTTATTTTAGAAGACTATCCTAATAGCAGAGGCAACTAAAAGTTGGTCCTCTCTTCTAGTTAGCAGAACTAATACCCATTTTAACTACTTTGATGCTTATATCCGTTATCAAAGAAGTGTTATAAAGGATTACTTTTCATCCAACCAATTTGATGGAAGGTAAAGGCCTCCCTTCATATGTACTGGATCAATGCGTTAAAAGGACAGCAGGAAAGAAGGCACCTCACTCAGCTTGTACAGAGAGTGTAAAATATGAGGATGCTGCTCAGAGCTGCTTCTTTGTAATTCCTAATCAGAAACTAACTTGTATCCAATACAACTGCAGTCTCAAACCTTCCTTTGCAACATCATCAGCTCTCGGTATATATTTAGCACTACTGCACACTGAAAAAACATTAATTACTTTTGTACTAGAACAGGAACTCAACTGTATCCATGCAAACTGAAACATGGTATTTAAGCAATGAGTGGCTTTAGCGACCTCTTAGGAGGACCTCTGCAGCAACTACAAACATTAGTCGAGTCCAAAATTTTGCCAGCCTGAAATTAGTTCCTTAAGTATCTAAATATTTTATAAACACTTAAGAAAATATTATTTACCCAGGAACCAGTGGGCTACCATCTAAGATTTCTTCTCAATAGTTTTTACATCCAAAGCCTATGAATAATACCCTAGCATCTTGAATGCCTTCATTACGGTCCTCAGCTTAAACCTCAATGTTTTGCATAAGCATTCAGCATCATACTTGATAGTTGCAAACCAAGAGAACTGGAAACACCTAACACCTTTCAGGGGTAATGCATTTGAATGGTAATTTTTCCTGCTTATAAATATATTATTTTCTTTTAATTTCTTTCAGCTATAATCCATGTCCTAATAAATATTTATGCACAAGACTTAAGGTCTAAATTAAGCACATAGAAAAAAAATTATAGCTATATTGCAGTTAGTAAAAAAGAGTACTACAATATTCTCAGTCACATATGGATTCTGTCCAGAAGCTCACTTTTTTTTTTAAATAGGATGACACAATAGACATGTGCCATGAGATTGTTTAGTGCAATTCTTACGTTTCCCTATCATCTAAAAGAATGAGATTCACATGTTTAAATGCAGCTGTTTTCTTTTTCCCATATGTAGATCAAAGAACTAGAAGTCAAAAAAATGTTCATGTTCTTTTTTAATTAAAAAGTCTGTCTGCTAACCCTGAATTCTTTCAAAAATACTCTGAGTGGAGAGGATTCAGGCAAGTCCCGTACACAGTGGACACATGAGTGCAAACAAATTGACAACATGGACATGTAGCGGACAAGACAATTACAGTTCGCCAATTTACCTGGAAGTGGAATAGGCATGCCAGGAAGGGGGACACGAAATGGAGGTACCATTACTGGTGGAAAAGCAGGAATTGCTGCAGTTGGTTGAGGTACTGCATGAGGAACTGCAGGAGGCAATGTCTGTGGGACTGGCTGGGGTACAGTCTGCACAGGTGTAGCAGAAGGAGCAGAGGTTGAAACACTGACTGATGGTGTGGCAACTGAAACACCCGAACTCGGGGTCTGGTCTTGTGTGGTAGGTGCTGATAAAAAAAAACAAAGAACACCTTGTATCTTAGACACTACAATATATTTGCTGCAAACATACTGGCTCTCTGTTTCCCAACAGATGTTATGTAAGCAGATATTTAGGAAGACACTCTTGGACAAAAAAAACTTTGCCTTCTCTGTAACATTAAACATTCACAAAGAAAGTCAATTTCAAATTTTACTTTGTCCCATTCTTTACACCTAACAAGTCTCTACAGGAATAGCAAGGGTGTACCAAAGGACAAATATAGCCTCTGTATCCCTGTTCAGAAAAATAGAAAGGGAATGTTACAGAGAGTTTCAAATGGAAAAAGATTGTTCTTACGTTAAATGAACACAGGTTGTGCTTTTTAACAATAATGGCAGCAGCATGTGCATAACAACAGTCTGTCTAAAACTATGCTTATTAAGCTGTGATCCAAGAATGGAAAAATATCAATAAAAAAAATGTGTAAATAAGCAAGGAAAAGCAAAGTACTTTTGTTCAGAAGCTGCAAGAACTTTCTTGGTCTTCAGTGCCTCCCAGTGGGAAAATACACCACTAGCATTCAATTCCATAATCCGTGCAGCATGACTGAAATCAGCACTTAACTGAGAATAAATAGTGCTGTGCATCAAAGCACTGGCAAACAGGAACTAGAGACGTGACTGATTAAACTCATTGACCAACCTTGCAAATTTACACTGTAAGATTTGGTAGAGGGGAGGAGAAACTGTTGTAAAAATGAGCTATTTAAAAAAAAAAAAAAAAGAAACCACACCAACTTATGACCATATTATATATAGGCATACTGAGCATTTTCTTCAGTATTTAATGACTACCCGAAGTATTCCCAATAACGTACCAGTATTAACATATTTAAATAAAGATTTTTGATCCGTTGTTAAGTGTATCAGAAAGGGTGAAAGTTCTTAGCACTGCCTGAACTTTAGGGAAACAGAGCGGACAGTCAGTATGTGATTTGTTTTAAGGCCTAAGTCAAATCAGTACCAGACAAGAATGAAGCTCAGCCAGAAGTCCCAAGTTTTTTTACAGGCCAAGTCTGAGAGTTATAAAATTATTTTAAATGATAAAATTTTATCACCTAGGCACAGACACCAACAGTAACAGTTCTTGAAAGCAAAGACAAAGTTTAGCAGGTAGAACAGGTAGAAGTGGAACAGACTCTCAGCATTCGATATTAGGAAATTTTGCTTCAGAGAAGGTGCATAAAGTGCTATTCCAAAAGTAGGATCAGTTCTCAAAAGCCTGGCATTAGACCAGAAGCTAACATTCACCTCCTACCTGACTCTTGTCACTCAGCAAAATGGTTAGAGTAGAACATATTTCAACAAATCAGCTGAATGCAGTACTAAGTTACCTTTCAAGTTAAATAAAAGCCCTAAAATGCTTTGAGCAATACAAATTATTTGCTACTCTAATGATCTGTCCTCCCTCCAGTGTTAACTGAAAGCACAATTCGAGGGTTACCTAAATTTGACTCCCTTTCATACTCAGATCTCTAAAGTTTGGGTTAAATGGTGAGTTAAGCTTGACTTGTCTCACCTGTTACAGGAAAAAGATGAAATAATTTCAGGGGATGCAACTATACACTACAGCTGGAGTTAGAACAGTTCAGCAATTGCTCATCTTCTGCACACTCTTTGGCCTGACCCAGTGCACACATTTTTGCCAGCACAGCTACAATGATTAAGACTGTCAAACAATAGGATTCCTGATCAGCATAAGTGTTGTGCTTTCAGTAGCCCTGCACGTAGACAGTAACACTAACCAAACTGTTCCTTAACAAGCGTACTTTGCTTCGTTCATCTTACTCATTGTTTGCCGGTGACACACTCATGCGCAAATAGTACATAAGATACATCTCTGTATAGGTGCTCTGCACTAGAGGCACTTTGTTAGCATGTATATGCCAAAGTATAGTATAAATCATACTATTTACATTATATGCAGATACTATGTGTAACATGCATTACGTGCACGCTGCATAAATTCAGTTCCCTTTCCTCTTGAGGTTCTCTCAATTGGCAAACCCTTTTAAAAGCAAAGGCTCAGCCCATGTAAACAGCAGTAATCTTCAGACTATTATTCAAAGGTCGTGAGTGAACAATAATGGCTCTAAGGACTTTCTTTTTCCTCTTTTGTGCAACTCTAGCAAATGGGAACTTAGGAGGCTTAGTCAGAAGAATAATGCTAATAAAAGTTATACACCAGAAGCAGCTCTATTCTGCAATCAACCAATTCTCCAAAGCCCAGGAGCAGCACTCAAAGATCCAGCCTCTTAAAGCAACAGATGCCATTTTGGAAACAAAGGGGAAATTGCTACAACTGTAACTCCTACCTCAGATTAACTTTTCTTGTGAGATACTTTTAAAAACAGTTTAGCTTTATCTATAGTCAAAAGGAAATGGACGCATAATAGCTTTGAGATGATGCAATAACAGCAGAAGAAAAATATACAAAGACCTAAAGAAAAAGGGTTGCATACTGATCTAGTATTACTCTCCTGAAGTAACTCTTTCAGAGTGGGGAAAAAAAAAAAACCCCAAAGGCTCACATGCAAGGTTCTTCTGGATTAAATACTGTACTTTAAACTCATGCTCCACCTTACGTTGAAACAACTTCCTCCTGGATACCAAGTTTTTGCTGCAGTAATTCCCCCAATCAGCATCCCCACCATCTGTTCCCCACCATTGCAAAGCTTGAGAAACCCTCAGTTACTCACTGGAAATCGTCTGTGAAACTGAAGTGGCTGTGGTTGTGGTAGAGGTTGTGGAGGACTGAGTACTCGAGGACGTGGATGGAGATGCTGCAGATGCAGGACTACTGGTGGTCGGTGTGGAGGCACCTACTGCTTGTGCCTGGGCCTGGGCTTGCGCCTGGGCCTGCGCTTGTGCAGCCAGCATCGGTGTCAACTCCGATTGCTGAATAACTTTGACCCCATCTGGTTTAGTCCACGCTGACTCACGTGTACGCGCATTATAGAAATAGACCTACAAGTTAAGAATGTCACCATCAAACAACTGCTTATCTGAAGGAAGAGCATTTATAAATGGTCCAGTTCCTCCTGTTTTAAAAATAATTAATAAGAGGATAGACAAGAGCGTTGGATTTTACCACAGTGCAAGACTGTGTACGACAACATGCTCACAACAGCAGTAAACACCCATTACTTTGCTGTTTCTGGCAACCGTCTTACCTTGCCGTCTGGAGTTTTGTTTTCTACCCATATCTCTTCAGCTGGGGGCATTGCTGGTGTTCCAGGGGCAGTGACAGGTGGGATTTGGGGGGAACATCATACCAGGAGGTGGTGGCATGCTACCCATGGGAGGAGGCATAAATGGTGGTCTCTAAAGGCATATAATAACAATAATAATGATGATGATAATAATAATAATACAATTTTCAAGCAGAATTTTCCTTTATTAGAGCACCAACAGACAGTACAACTACAGTAAGGTTAACTCCACCAGTCTTGAGAGCTCCTTTAACAACCTAATGCTACCAGCTCAGAGAATGCGCTTCCTGACAAGCCACCACCTATGGCAAAACAGCCGCAGTAAGTATTTCACTTCCGAGATGCTAACACAAACACAAAGCATCAAAAAAAGTGGCATGAAAAGAAGTGGGGTGAGAGAAAACTCCTCTCCTGAAAAGGCAAAAATATCCCAATGCAAGAAAGAGAAAGAACAGAAGAACTGTTCCTGAATAACTCAGACATCCCCAGCTGTGAATCAAATACAGCACTAAACAGTTACACAATGACCCTCCCAGTGAAGAAATATTAAAAAAAAAAAAAATTAGAAGCAAGCATCCAATTTATTAGCGGAGCACAGCAGCGGATTTCATTACAATCCATTATACTTCTCAATTTCCCATTAACTAAAATTCTAACTAGTGCTAATTTAAAAAAAAAAAAAAGAAAAAGATCAAATTACATTTGATATTACATCAATTTTCATTATTGCATCATTATAACAAATCCAGAACTGCGCTGCACACCACTGTTAACTGAAAGCCTGAGTGCTTGCTTTCTAATTCAAGGTACATTAAGTTCTTTTATTCTGCGTATTTATTTGGACTGTTCTGAAATTTCCTGTGTATAACAAGTACAGTGAATACTTCCCTATAAAAAAGACAGTCGACAAAATCCACCACGTTCTTTAACTTATTCTGCATACACCTACAACCGACCTAATTATCTCCATCACTCCAGTTCTAAATGAACTTGCGATGGAGAAGATTTCCTCTTCACAAAGGCAATACCCAGACAACTCACTGGTAAAAACCTTCTAGCTCTGCACTCATAACTGACAGGCCCAAGAATGAAATGCACACATGCAGCAAGACTAGGGCTCTGCTGAAGCTAGGATGTGTGCAGGAAATCCAGTGTCACAAAAACAAAAAGCCATTAAGGTAACTATAGCCTTTCTTTCCTTCCTTATTTCTTCTCCGCAGCTCCTCCATCAGCCATGAGATGATCTTTCTCTTTACTGCTCTACAATCTGTAAAAAGAATCCATTAGAGCTCACTTTTGCCTGCTGTTGCTGCTTCCTGGAAAAAAGGGGTTAGCCTGTTCCAGGGCAGTCCTGGGAGCGAGGAGGGGATGCCAGGTGTACAGCCAGGGGATCCAGAACGCCCTTCAGCTCCACTCTAAGCACATCCTCTCCTCCGTTTCTACCACAGGACCTTTCAACATCTTGTCATCCCTTGCACCAGAAGCAGGACGAGAAGCTAAAAACCAAATATTCGGTGCAAAGCAGAGCACAGTACTGACGTGGCATGAAAAATTTAGACATGCTTGGTGCATGGATTCCATGTACGGTAATGAGTTGTAAAAGACATGCTTACTGCATGGCATGATAAAACAGCTATGATGTAACAGCTGAGAGCTGAAGCACATTCAGAATATAAATCCAATGTATAAATCAAGGAGACATCAGCAGCTAAGCTTGGGGCTTCAAATTAACTCTGGCCAATTCTTGAAACTGCAAGAAGGAAGCAAGGTCCTGTTCTCCCCTCTCAGTCTGAGTTCCACTGCACACTCTGACACTCTCCGTTGCTTCAGAGCTTTCAAGGTAGTGCATGGGCACATGAATATTAACACTAAGAGCGAAAATGGGATCATAAAGCACCAGAACGAAGGTGCAGTAGGTGGAAATAGTCTTAAATAAACTTAAGCTGAGCATGAAAACCTACCATAGAACAAGGCCCCTAGTACTGAATGAAAGGAAGAGAAAAGATGACATTCAATGAGGTGAGTGGAGCTGTTTACATCCCTCAAACTTACTGTTTCAGTCTTCAATTCCACAGGACTTTTGTTCAGCTGAGAACTTTTCAATGAAATGAATAGCTATTTAACACCTCCCTGAGCACTCCAAGTTCTAACAACACGCTTTATGTTTGAGAAGATGGAGAGAAAACTGCTACGGAAAACATGCACTGTTTCTTCTTGAAACCTTGTGCTCGGGATGAAGATAGCACACAAAATTAAACTACAATTTGATGTTCGTTTATTTCAGATGAAGTCCAGCTTAAGTCCTTGTTCCTGCTCTTGCTGCTTCTTTGCTTCCTCTCATACCATTCCCTCCATTTCACACAAAGCTCTCTGCAGAGCTATACAGTGAACCAATCTGCATTAAGAGTAATGTGGAAAAAAGCTCCCATAGCCCTGCTGCCAAAAAACATACACAAAGCGGGGCCTAAAATACCATGAAATAACCCATGTCAGCATGTTCTCTTTCCATCTTGCCCACATCCTTACATTTTAAAATAAATTTCACAGAACTAAAGTTTTCACTATTCTATTACAAATAGTGGATTTAAACCATTATTTATAAACCACATAGTACTATTCACCTCTTTATAGGCCCGCCTGAAGTCCCACACAGTAATTATACTGCCCTAATAGCACTGTACTCCTACAATGCTATTAAAACAATACATTTCTTATTCACAAATGTGTTGTACCTTTCAAACCGTCCGCGTCTCTGAGAAGTAGGCAAAAGAACTTAAACATACATCACGGTAAAATACAGACACACATCTACCTTACTTGAGCCCAACAGGCTCATACTATCCCTGTAGGTGCTAGGAATGCTGTAAGTTTTAAAAAAACAAAACACAACAACAATAAACCTAAGATAAAGAGCATTTTCTCTCTGCCAAGAGTAAACTTATGTCAGCACAGGGACCGCCTGCAGCTGCTCCAGTCAAACACTGAGCCTACTGTTAGGTTTTTTCCCAAATGTTAGATTTTTCTTTGTCAGTGTGTTGACATTTTCTGGTGTGTTACTTACAATGCATCCTCCTGAGCACGGTGCTGAAGCAAAACATACCTGGTCACTGATTATATACCTTTTTCTCAGAATTGCTACCTGCCCGCCTAACCAATCCCTTGGTGATCAGTAATAAACAACCACAGCAATGGCAGGTGTGGCTCATGCTGGAATCCATGCGGAATTCAGCTGCACCTTCTCTGTCAGTCTTTGCGTGCATCCATCATTACCTCACTAAGTGAATACAGGCAGAACCAAGATAACCCTAGAAGGCTGACGCGTACTTCACACGCTTGCTTTGAGGTGTTCAGAAATCTGAGCACAGCCGAATCCTACATTCTGCATGGCCACAGGGCACCAACACGAAGTCAGGTTTTAGTAAAGACTCTGTTGGTGAGCGTATCCTAACTGCGTAATTGATTAATTTAGAATTGCCTCAAGGAGCTAAACAGAAGTTGCATTTACATACCACAAGTATGCATTAGTTTTATAATGCCATGCACGAACCTTATGTTTTTGCCATGCCCTGCTATTTTTTTCATCCATTTTAATGTCTCTTCTCTTGTTATTTCCACACATGAAAACAAACCCTAAATCCCAACTCAACAAACCACGAGAATCTCCCATTCTTTACCTGTAAATGTGGAGGTCCCATTGGTGGAGGAATCCCTCCTGGAGGTGGCATCGGAGGCATGTTTGGATCAAATGGAGGACGTCCAAAAGGGGGGCGAGGTGGTGGTGGAGGACCTCGCATCATACCAAAAGGTGGAGGTGGTCGCATGAGAGGCGGTGGGCCTCTCATGACTGCGTTTGGTGGGGGAGCTGGGCCACGAAATCTCAGTGCTTGCTGCTGAGCCATTCTGTGGATAAGGCCAAAGGGAAACAAAGTTTATTTTCTTTGGCTGCTTAGCTGTAGGAAAATCCATTCTTACAATAAACAGGGAAAAACCCTAATAAAAATCAAAAGGGTGTGGAAAAAATGCCAAGTTTGAACAAAGTTAAGTGTGCAACTACTTCAGTAGTTTCTTCCCCTTTGCAATTCAAGTTCGTTAGTCCTCAATTGTTAATTTTCACTCATGGAAATGAATAAGCTAGAGCTGGGATCAGGGTAGGCAGGCATTGCGGAAGCACATCCAGATCTGCCAAAGCTCCTTCAACATGACCTGCAACTCTGATTCCTGTCTGCACGTACTTCCTAGACTTCTCAAACAACGGCTGTCAATCGTGCCAAGGGTTTCAATTATTCTGTAGGACAAGTGTCTGTCAGAACTATCCACCTCCTTCGCATTTGTGACTTACATTAGGATTTGAACTCTGACCATCGCACTAAACCCGCTGTGCCCCCCAACCCTCTACACAAGGAGCTTTGTAAATGTATATATAGAAAAAAACGTTCACCTTTGGAACCAACAAACGCTCTTCTGCTGCTCTCAGGAAAACAATTTTGCCCACCATTTAGTGCCAGTGCAATACCAATGTTGGCATGATGACTCAAAATTGAAAAAAACAAAGGTTATGAGAAGGTGAACGGCAACACACACGCAACTCAGCACCCAGACCGCAGGGGCAGCCCCTGCTCCTGCTGACCTGGCCTGCAAGCGGCGCGGAGAGCGCGAGGGGCAGGCGCTGGCGGCGGGAGCCGGCAA